ATAATAAGAAAAGAAAAAAAGAATAAGAAAAAGGTAGGAACATTTTCCTCTAGTAAAGGCGGTTTTACAAAGCTTAAGTAATGTACAGTGTGGCCCTGTGATATTACGACGGCCGTGTAGATGTCAAAATGTTCTTTTCGTTGACTTTCACTGCACGCAAAGCAAGAGCGATTAATAAAATCACTTAGGCGTTCAGTGACAGATCTGCATTGCATCGTAACTTAAACGAGCTCGATTCAGATTAACTCGATGCTCGTTTTTATTTAGATTCTAAGCTATTCCGATGGCAAAATACAAATGAGTTAAAAACTTTGATCAAACACGGTACATTTATTGCTTATATTAAGATAAGAGTCGAATAGTTTTCATTATTCACTTGATGATTTTTAGTTTTTAATATTAATTAATTTACGCGAGCATTAATCTATATAAATAGATTTATATCTTTAAGATTATATAAAATTTGGACGTAGATGAAATTTGTTAAAGATACGCAATGTGCTAAGTACCATTAGCTTACAGTAATTTATAATAGTTGTATTTTTATATTTTTTTTTTATTTATTTACTAACTAAATATTTATCGTTTATATACTTACGTAAAAACTGTCTCATGTATTCAAGATATGGCAAATAAACCTAATTTCTCTTCTTTTTCGGTGTGCTACATATTGAGAACGATGATTACAATCGGAAAGTTTAACAGATATACTTATCATAACATAAATACTATTTATAACAATTTCGATAAAAATCAGTGATTTGTTATATTGATCAATAAGACAACAAAAAATATATATATTTATTATATTGCCTAATCAATACAATTATTTATTTGCCTTTAATGTAATAGTGTTTTTTTTCTTTTATAGATTCGATTGACTCGTTTGTTTCAATTTATTAAGAAATGCAATGATTTAACAATTCCTCTATGTAATTCAATGACTCTTGCTTTTTTTTTTTTTTTTTTTTTTTAATATATTTTTTTTTTTTTTACGTAAATGTAATGTTTTAATACTACCACCCGATCACAATTATGTAATTCCATAATATAATAAATCGATAAAATATTATGGATGGATAATGGATTATTTTAAATAAAAGGAATATCAAATATGAGGAGGATGGAGGATTAGTTCATTGCCGTTTGATTGTTTTGTGACATGTAACTTACATTAATTTACATTATTAAATATATTTATTAATATTATTAAAAGCGTGTAATACTTAAAATTATTTAAACTGCATGAGTAAATAAACGTTATTATAAATACGGATAAGAGCATAAAACTTTTTTTTTTTCAATATTCGAGGGATCTTAAATGTAAGTTGAAAATTCATTGAGAATGTACATTATAATCTATTTAAAAATCAGTTTTTTTCTACTTCAATTGTATATTAAAACATCATAACGATATTTCAATAAAATATTTAAAGAAATTCAATTCAAATATATTTATCACATAATTTGAAGTAATACTAATGATACCTACAGTAAAACAAATAGAAAATCACAAATTTGTAAATTGAAATAATTTTGCCGATTAATTATGTAATATTTATTCTTTGGAATTTAAATAGCAGGCTTATAATATCGATACATAATTGTGAGAAAAATATTAATTCTGGTGATATGACCCCTGAAGAAATTCAACTGCCCCCGCTCGCTTCGCCCATATTACATTAATGTTCCTTCACTCAAAAAATGTACTTGAAGCAACGTAAGAGAAGCCACTTCTATGAAATAATAATAAATAAGCGCCAATAATACTATATATATATATATATATATATAATATATAATATATTATCATGTTTAAGAACTGTTATTCTTAATATGCTGTTGCATGGATTAAATGATTTAATAAATATCTTCAACAATAAAGACAAAAGCAAGGTGATGAATCAACAAATAAGGATTTACATTCTGTAATAATGAAATTTATACGATTATAATAATTTTAAATTAAATGTCGGTATGAATAAATTTTTCATCGTTCATTTTATTGTATATGATTAAATTAAATCGAGATTATAGATTTTGCTTCCCCATAAAGTGACATAGAATATTATTTTGATAATTATTCTCCTGGTATATCATATTTTAATCATATTTAAATTATGTAATAGTTATATTTACATTATTGTAAGTTTTTGTTCGTTGTTATAATTTTGAAGTTATATAATATAAAATAAAATTGATGTTCAGAATATAGAGTGCATTATTTATCGAAATAAAAATAAAATCTTTTTTTCATTTTTACGCTCAATGTATTGAGTTTATTTGCCGGATAGAGGTTTTATCTTAATTTAAAATATGATTATTTTAAAATTATTTATATAAATCATTGGTTTATTGTAATGGAAAGGTAATACAAATATTTGGAGAAGGAAAATTCATATGCATTGTAATGACCGAGAGTCCAAAGAATTAAGTATCAAATAGCATTGCGAAGGTGGTTCGTAAAAGCCACGCCTTTTCTCATATTCCATGGGTATGTAGGTTATCTACAGAAAAATAACCGTGATTTATTTAATCAAGATATGACCATTTACACCGATTCAGGAAATAAGTTTGAAAGCATCTTTTTAATATTATTACCCAGATTGAAATCGAAAATGAAAACATTGCCATTGTATTTATTGTATTAGATAAATATTTTGAAATTTTTAGATAATCGGGGTAATATAGTCAGTGGGAGTAATATAAAAACAAAACAAAACAAAACAAAACAAAATTTGTCAATAAAATAAGGAGTCCATATTCACTTACACTAATGTTTCCTAATAATGCTATTGAGCAGGACAGAAATTATGTTTCAAGTACTTTTAGACTGAGAATTGAAATAAAGCTGAGAAATTTGAAAAAGTCATTTTACTTTAATAAACATTCTTTAATTGATATTTCACCAACGTTTCCAATCATATTATACAAAAAATATTAGAATATAAATATTGACAAATAATTAGTAATAAAATTTTTAAAAAATTTATTATAATTAATGCAACAATTTATTATTGTCATCGATAACAATTTTACCTTTTTTTTTTTTAATCTTAATTATTTTTTGTTTGATGAGCAGAATTACTGTGTGCTTAAGTTTGTAGAAGAATCAGTTACGTAGTAGTTTTATAAAAATGTTTAAAATAAACTTTCTTCAATGATAATCAAGTTTTTCGTAAGAGAAATACGCTTATCTAGACAAAAAAAAGGACACTGTAAATAAGATGGATGAAACGCCAGCTCAATCTACAGATAGATTTGCACGAGAAATAAAATTTTCTTCGTTTCAAATTATTAGTCATAAATGGCTATTACTCACCTGCATTTAAAATATATTATTATTCAACTTATCAATTGAAAAATTGTTGGAAATATATTTTTGGCTCATAAGAATTGTAGGAATAGAAACTTCAGTATTACACAGTCGATGTAAATAGTAAAATATTTATGAGTCTCTAGTATTCTACATTTTTACAAGAATTTCTCTAGATTTTCTAAAGATTATGTAAATAGCAGTAAAATTATTTGCAGACAGACTTGGTTGGAAAATTTAAGAAAAATAACGAAAAACTTCGTATTAAGTATGAATAAAGTGTGACGTTTATTGATAGGTAATTCGTTTAGGTTTTTAATACTTTTTACTACGTAACATAATTGTAATTTTGTACAAGTTTTTTTTTTTAATATTTTTTAATACGTTACAAAATTTTTATTCAACAAATATAATTGGCGCGATCTCGATGAAAAATTGTAACAGCATAAAAACTAGATCATTTGACAACAAATATATTGATGAAACTAAGTATTAGACAGTCGTTGGTTTTGGCATTTCAAAGTTCAGTTACGAATTTATTAAATATTTTTTTTGTAAAATACTTAATTCCGTACATTTTAATACAGCAATAATATTGCGGTGATTGCTGTTTTCAAATTCTGACAGAAAATTTTTTTCATTTCATTGTTTTGATAAACGTTGCTTTTCTCCTTATCGTACACTTATAATTTTTTTAAAAAAAATATACGTGTTTAATGAGTTTTTTTTTTATTTAGAAATATGTAATTTTCGTTAAAAAAAAAAAAAAAAAAAAAAGAAAGAAAGAAAAACGTAATTCTCTAATTGGTCTTGTGTGCTATTATTTTAGAGTCTCGAGTTGATGAGTGATTTATTTGAATTTATTTATACATAAAATAGTTAATGTCTAATATTACTTATAGGAAAAACGCAGTAGACGATTACCATGAATGATTGAAATACTTTCATTTAATTATGAATGAATATTTTTAAAATTTCGATAGAAAACATTCAACTTCCATAATATGGACAAATAAACGCTTTTGTCTACTTATAAATACGAAAATAAAACAGCATATGATTAGAAAAATACATAAATACATACATTCACTTTGAATACAACATTTTCTCAAACAGACATATTCGTTATCACTTAGAAGATACATGCATATATGTACAAAATTTTGCATTTTTCATACTAGAAAAATACATTACACTTATACGTCATTTGATAGTTTTAATTTCAAAGTGAATTTGAACAGACTTTTTTGTCGCATATTTAAAGATTAGTTAAAAACTCTTACCGATATTAATGATAACCTACATTAATTAATAAAGTGTATAATTTAACATTTTAGTTTATTATTACAATATGAATGTATAGTTGTTTCAAATCGGGGCTACTATCGATTGCAACTACCATTACTTAAGTATTTTTAGTTTATACCGGCTTTAATATTAATACGTAATAACCGAATGATTGAATGCATTGATTTAAGATTATACTATATGTGAATAAATGATAATTTTTATTTTATTAAAACTTTATAATTTGCCATTATAATGCTCTATGCTACCAATATAAAGTTTATAACGGCAAAACAAAATTCTATTGTGACATATCAAGAGTAGCTCATTTACGTCGAGTTTTTGACTCCTAGTGATAGCTCCGAGTCAGGATAAATATACATTTTATCGTTTATGTAGACAAATTTCATAAAATCTTATCATTTAAGTGATAATGTTTTTTCTTGAGTTATTTTGCTATTTTAAAAATTTAAGGCCAATGTTTAATTGTGCTGCATGTTGATTTCTTCTTTGGCATTGGATATATCTATATATTTATAGAACTTCGCCATTATAGCGAAGACTAGCATGTCACCGAGCATTAACAAGGCAAATAGGAAGAATTCTAATACCTGAAACATAAAATTACAGCACGTATGCAGTTAATTATGTATTTATTGAGAGCATTGCAATTAAATAAAAACTTACTTTTGCCTCGTAATTATGCCGGCAAAACGGGTAAAAAGGAAGTGAAAAAAAAAAGAGTTAATAAATCTCAGACTGATATCATAATATGTAATTAAGTGATTGCATTTTAAAATTATTATCATTCGAGTGAAGGTTATAAACTATTTTATGACTGCTCAAGTCAATATAATCGAACATTATTAAATATTATATAATAAAATATAATACTTAATTTTTTATAAACATATTTTATTATGAATGTTTTCGTCTAATTTAACTTAATTCTAAAAGCTATAAAATTAACGCTAGTTTCTTAGTTCCATATTTCTTTAGATAAAATTTATCAAGCAATTCATATTGCTTTTGATAAAAATTTATCAAAGTATTGCATTTTTCACATGCTATAAGCAACCTTACACATAAATAAAAAATATATAAGTGTTACCGTAAATTCATTAAACTTTTATCGTCTGTACAATTCGCATCATCTTAATAGACTTAATTAAAAAATGTAATTATAAATGAAAACTTTGTAGGAAAATCCGGCGGTAATATCATTATGAGCAATCTTTTCTCATTACACACCTCAATATAAATATAGTTTCTTGTTAATTAATTTATCATCACTCGTATCAATTTACATGATTATTATTATTATTATTATTTTGCAATAAAATAAATTATGACAGACAAAATTAATAGGCCGTTAATGTATTATTGCTATTATTAAATGGTAGGTGGTGTAATTGTACTGTTTCGTAAAATAAAATAAGAGCCAATGTATCATAAAATTAACATAAAAAATAAGAATTAATGGTGATATAGATTGAACGTCTCTAGAACGACAACGACACTGTTCTCTTTGTCTATTGACTTCACTCAGCGCCATCGCTTTATCATTCGTTAAAATCGATATAATCAGCTAGATCGGGGACATTTAACGACATCGCCTCTCAGACTTGATCAACACTCTTAAATCTCGCCCAACGATCTTTCTCACCTGTCGCTGGAAGAAGTGAGCCTCGGCAATGATGACGACAATGAGATTACCAAAGGCAACGGTAAGCAGAAAACTGGCCTGAAGTAGCGACTTCATGCTGGCCGGCGCCTGCGTAAAAGCGAATTCAAGACCCGTGATCGAGAACATGATCTCGCCCATTGTTATGACGATGTATTGGGGCAGGAGCCAGAACATGTGGATCGAATTGGGTTCAACGATCGTCACTTTCCGCAACACCGTCGATTTGTCGACGACCTCGCCGACGATCGTGTATACCCCACCGACGTGGAAGCTCATCTCATCGACTTTAAAGTCGTCCATGAATATCTCGTACTTGTGGTGATTCATCTCGATGAACTTGGTGAAATTCGTTTTCTTTTTTATTTCGAATAAGTATTCATCGTTGCCGCCGATCAGCTTGAGGGTCCTGTAGTTGACGGTGTTGGAATTTATATCAATGAGAGCTCGCACCAACGGGTCACCCGTCTTCGACTTCTCGATGCTATCATGGAGGACGGGACCGAGGCCCGATCTAGTTATAGACCACGATTGGGCTGTTTTCTCCTTGACTATCAGAGTCCCTGAGAATGGAAGGAATTCGTTTATTAAGTCACTTAACGACTAAAATACTATGATAAGATAGATCAATGATTGAAAATGCACAGTCTTAGTACTAATAATACGCACCGGTGAATATTTTTTTGCTCGAGATTTGACAATCGCCGTATTCTGCCCTGAACTCGAGCGACTCGACTCCATTAACTGGAATACTAAGGTTTTCGTACATACCGAGGCTTTCCAAAAAAAACTTATGCTCGTCGATTGTTATCGAGGCATTGCAGTTCAGTGTGTTAAATATCCGTATTTGTGCCAAGCCAGTCGATGGTTGAACGACATATGTCGGCTTAAATTCAATAAATCATAAATTAAATTATATTAATGCCAATGTGATAATCTATCGATTATTGCTAAATTTAAGCTTATAAAAATTTATCGCCAACCGGCTTTTCTTAATCGTTCGAATGTTACATACGACGAGTTTATTAATTTAGAAATAAGTGGTATTGATTAGCTTTCGATGATTTATTTTAGTTTATCAAGAAAGCAGGACTTTTAATCGCACTACTTATACCGTTCGCATAAATATATAATTAACATTGATTACCCTTAATATGTACTTATTGCGCAAGTAAAATGCCGACTATTTATTTTAACACTTGCTCAAGTCACCAAACGAACGTTTTAATTAGAATTTTGGCAAAGTATTCAAGATAAAACAAAACAACAGAAACAACAACAACAAAAAAAACAATTTTTTTTTTTTTTTGTTCAATTGAACTAGAAATATTTCATTTTAAATAATATTCATTTTAGATAATAGATTTTTTTTTTTTTTTTTTTTTTTTTTTTTTTTTTTAATTAATATGCTAATAATGTACTGTCAGAAATTAACAGTTTTTAAGAGCACAAACGAATGAGAATTATGAGAAAATTTTCATAAGGCTTCATTGGTTGCTTCGCATAGATTATTCAATAATATATAGACAATAATGTAGCACTTATGTTAAAGTTAATTGCAATACAGCTTTAATGCGCTGAATATTTGTTAAGAATTCAAACAAACCGAGAGACGGGATTTAAAATTTAACGAATAATTCCATAAACTCAAATAATTTTATAGCACTGTTATAATATTAACGATGAAATTCAATTTACCTTTCTCGCATTTGAATTATAGTTTCATTTTTAAGTCTACTGCGTTCCAATTTATGAGAGATATGCGTAGAATGCATGCTTTTCATAAAGAATGATTCATAAAAATATATTAAATAATATCTTATCGTTCTGGAATTACTCAAGCTTATAATTCTTAATCATAAAACTTAATCTTAAATATTTAGCGCATCTGATTATGAAGATATCAGCATAGGAAACGTATGATACTTCTCGGTCGCTCAAATTATATTAATCCGATTTAATAGAAATATCATCTGAATCATAAATATCCAATCAAATAAAAGGAGAAAAAGTACTTTATTCTAACAGTCTAAAATGATTAATTTTTGAAATTTTATCGATCATTTTGACAGTTTTGTGATATGCATTAATAAATTGTATTTACAAATTATAATATCGTTTAAAAAGAAATATTTTTATAATACAGCATTATTAAGCACTTTATTCTTTATTATTTCGAAAACATTAAGTTTATTTATTTACATGATAAAATAATGATAAAAAAATTATAAAACGACTAAACAAACAGTCCTACACTAATTACTATAGTTGGAGTATTTTTATTCCAGTCTTTTTTTCTTTTTTTTTTTTTTTTATCAGGAAGCACCCGCATAAAGTTTGACTTTACTTATATTTAATGACCATATATTAAAGTAAAACGAAAAATGCTTACATTTTCTTAACGTGCATTTTCTTTCAAAATCACGACAATACTATATCGCGTTGCACAATACCTAAGCAAATAATCACATAGGTACGACTTTAATAAAGCTGCTACAATTTTGAAAATTAATTAAAACATTATCTTCAATTATCCATCCATTATCCGTATTAGAAACTGAATACAATTGTCAATTTAATCTTTAGAGCTTTTGTTAATTTATTCAGCAATTAAAAATCCCTAGATCCAGTAAAATTTTCAAATTCGAACTCGAACTCTGTGTTCCAAGTACGTACCTCGAGATTGTACTCGACGATGCCGGAAATGGCAAAGGACAGGCTCGCCAGTAGTCCGCCAACAGTGATCTTTCTCAAGGGTGTATTAATATACAGAAATTTTTCGATAACAGGATACACGCATATCTGGAACACTGGAATAAAGATGATAATGAAGAGGGGATTGACGACCTGAAATTGATCGGGCTTGACGAGGTAACCGAAAATCTCGCCGTTCATACGCGTCGCCTGGAATGTCCAGCGAGAACCCTGTTGGTCGAATAAGGCCCAAAATATTGGTAGTGGTATGAAGAGCTTTAAAACTTTCAAAACTGACTTAATGTCCTCGATCGTTTGCTTGCTGTAACGATTGTCCGAATGGTCCAGCCAATTGTCGCGCTTTTCCTTTGACTTTATTTTACGGAAGATAGCGTACTGCAACAAACAGATAATATCGCTAAAGCATATTATATTTATGCCGTGTGAGTTTGGCGTTTGAGGTCAAACGTTGAGCAGCCGGTCTTACTCTTTTTGCAATAACGAGTTAGTCGAGCGCACGATTATTTCACCAATTCAAGTATTGCTTATGCAAGCATACGATATTAGTTAATCTAACGAATGTTGCTCTCTTAGTTTATTAAATATTTTCCCTCTTCGTAGGCAATTAAACAAATTTGAGCTTTCGTGGTTTTAGTACTTAATTAGTTTTAGTACTTTCTTTATAATAATAATAATGATAATAATAATAATAATAATAATAACAATGGGAATTATTATAATTAGCAGTAAAATTAGAAAGTGCTTTTAAAACGTTTAAATGCATTAACTGTCTACGATATCGACAAATCAGTTAATTGGTATTTAAGAGACAGTTAATGCATTTAAACGTTTTAAAAGCACTTTCTAATTTTACTGCTAATTATAATAATTCCCAATACTGCTGTTATTATCATTATTATTATCATTATTATTATTATCATTATTATACTAAAACTAATTAAGTACTAAAACCACGAAAGCTCAAATTTGTTTAATTGCCTACGAAGAGGGAAAATATTTAATAAGATATAAAATGAATAATGGGAGATTATCATTTCCAATGATATGTCACATAAATTTGAAATTATAAAAACTTCACTTATCCGATGAAATCTTAAGATCTCGCGCAAACGTAAAAAATAAAAATTAAGATCCAATCCATGAAACAATTATTAATTTTCTTTAACGATGAATATATTTCAAGCACGATAAAACGTCGTTTTAAACGTTGATAATTTTTTAGAAAAATTGAAGACAATTTTATATAATGAATTTTCGTTATAAATGTTTACAAGTGTTTTCAATTTTTATCATTATGAATATTCGGAAAATGTGAAATAATTAAGCCTGCCGTTGAAACTTCTAAATTGATAATTAATAGATCACTCGAGTAATAATTTGCTCTGGATATGAAAAACAATGGTTATGATTTATTTATTAAAATTCGCCAGTACATGTTTCGTTGCAGGCAACTTCGTTAACTCACAAATTATATGCTGAATTACTTGAATCGGTAAAGCTTTAAGCACTTACGTAAGGCAAAATAAGTTAAACCCTCTTTCACTTAATTATAAATGCAATTCTTGTACGCCATATAATCAATATATTACGCTTATAATTTAAAATTACTTTGTTTTACGTCATGTTTCCTCTATTGCAACGTTGAAATTCTTTATTTAATTGTACAGTCATACAGTTAATTTATTATTTTAAGGGCTAATATTTTAATCCAATTGATTAATCTACATGTGCCTTGCATAAATGCAATTAAATTAATGCGACAGCTTTTATACAACTTATGTAATTTTCATTCGGGCACATGTATTAAAATAAGCTCATTGTAGAAATGTGGATACTTACACAGATGCAGCTAGTAACAGTGAAAATGACATTGCCTTCGGGCTCTTTTATTCGATACAGTCTTTTACCAGAAAAAAATATCGCTGAAAAATTATAGTAATTATCAATTTAGTGAATTTATAAATGCACACATGTATATTGGATATATGATTTGTTTGTATTTCAAAATGTACGGTTGTAAAGCTATGTGATGTTGTTACGTAAAGCCAATAAAACCATCATAAATATCACATTAAAATGATTATATAAAAATGGATAATTATACCAGTACATGTGCTTTTAATGTATCGAATAGTAAAATTAAAATTAGAATTAATTGAAAAGGAATTTAATTAAAAATGTAAATTAATTTTGTATATACCGAATAAGTTCGTTTATTTTATTATCCATCTAAGCAATAAATTTCATTCGTTAAAATAATCAAAATACAGAGATATTGTATAATTTACAATTAAATATGAAAATGGAATATAAAACGTGGTTAATGATGGTTAATAAGCAATATTCGGTACATTCACTTTTCATCCATACATATCAATGACTGTGTTATTCAAACAAAGAAGAAAAAAACAATTTATTTGTAAAAAAGATTTTACCCCTTGATTATTAAAAGTATACGCATTTATTTGTCATACTTTGCAGTAATTATCGATATACAAAATTAACAAAATAAACGTGGTATTAAAGTTTAAAATTTTTCTAACTAATAGTGGCAAGTCAACGGAAAGAAAAAATGAAAAAAAGAGAAAAAGAGGAACGAAAGAAGAAGTTTCTTATTAATTAAATTTATAATTTACCAACGTATGGAAAATCGAACAATTAAAACTCGGTAAATCAATTTATCAATTTTAAACTAAATACTCTAGTTTATCAAACAAAGAGCGTTGCCGACAAAAAAAAAACTCTAAAAATCAAGAAGCTTGAATAGATTCTTCTTATAAATATAATTACGATCGATTCAGTTAGCTCAAAGACAATAATTATCTTGTAAAAATATATGTTTTTATGAAATCAATCATTACTGTCTTTTATTATATAGTTAACTAATGATATAATATACAGATATATAAATTTCAATTATGTAAGTGCAAATAGAGAAGTTTTCCAATTCAGGAGTTATGCATTCGATTTGTTATCAAAATGATCTATATATAGCAATGATGGATCTTCATTTTATAAATGAACCGACTCGTTATATAAATTATTTCAATTTATTTACAAATTCAAAAGTGAATTTACATAAAATATGAAAATAGTAGCACAGATTTTATTAAATAACGTCATTGATTTGCGGACAATAGAAGAAGGTAGGAAGGATCGTTAAAATGTCTTAAGACTTATTATTCTTTTTTGCTCGCGGAAAAACCTTTTAACTAACAGCCTTTCCTTCCTGTGCAAATAAAAATCTTCATGGCATAAATTATAAAATAATGGCAATACATTTATAAAGCAACCCTATGCTTTTGTTCATTTCAACGACATTTTACATTTGAATTTTATTTGAATTTGAATTTTGTACATAAGACTTTTGATTGCCCGGGATAGTCGTTCGCGAGCTATTCGAGAAAATAAAATATTGCAAAGAGCAAGGAAAGGAGCTTGCGCGTTCGCATCGTATTGTGCAATTTCAATCGGCAGGAAAGGAAAATATCCTTCATTAGCTCGAATGCCTATTTTTATTAGCCGAAGTCGGTCATTTTGACTACGCGCTGTTCTTTTCTTAGAAGCACATTTTCCATGGCCGCACTAAACCGCGTGTATGCGACTCGCCCAATAATATCCTACCAATGATGCACTCGTTTACCAAAAAGAAAAACAAATAGGAAAAAAAGAGAGAATACAGAATGATAAAATAAAGAAAGTGAAAGAAAGAAAGAGAGAAACGAGTAGCAAACTTAATACTACTCTCTTACCTACGGATATAATCATGAGTACAGCCGGTATGAAAAAGGCCAGCGAGTAGCACGTGTTCTCCCCGAAGCAGGTGACGTCTTTGCGGAGTATCGGAGTGATGAAGGTGGACAGGAGCGAGCCCGAGTTTATGGCAAAGTAGAAGAGTGAGAAGAAGGTGGACAGGTAAACCTCCTGCTCGGGCAGCTTGAATTGGTCGCCCCCGAAAGCCGTGACGCAGGGCTTAATGCCACCAGTGCCAAGGGCTATCAGTATCAGGCTCAGGATGGATAATTCTCTAGGGGGAAAGAAGCAGCGGAGCGTTGTTTTTTTTCTTTTTTTTTTCCTTTGCAGAATCTCGACGACTCGCATTTCACTTTATGATTACTTTCATTAACGGAGGATTTTTTTTTGTATTTTTTTTTGTTTTTGTTTTTGTTTTGTTTTTTGTTTTGTTTTTTGTTTTGTTTTTTGTTTTGTTTTTACGGGCCTCGATTGCTAGCACAATAATCCTTACGATCCTGCTGCCTTCCACGCAATGCTACAGAACTTTTGATCGTTTCAGGCACTCCGGGCTGCCCGGCAGTACACTTATTTGCATGTACCAAATATTACTTATATTACTTATATTATTTACGTGACATTAAAGTCGTCCTTACATTAAGCCGATAAGCTCGCTACATCTTAATTTATTAGCTCCTAGTATTTACAGTTGCGCGTGTTGTATAATGCGCCGTTAAATAATGAATTACACTCTAATCGACTAATAATACAAATCAATTAATGAATATTTTTCTTTTCCCTTTGTCTCTTTTTTTCTCTCCAAGTTTCGACGAGCCTAACTGTATTATTTATGCGACGAAGGACTCGTAGATATTTTATCTAATGCGAACGATGTTTTAGAATTATTTTAGAAATTAAGAACCTTGTAACACTGCTGCAACGCGACGAGAAAATCGGTAAAAAATTATAAAAAAAAAAAAAAAAAAAAAAAAAAAAAAAAAAAATATATATATATACTGAACGACTGATGCATGATGAATTTTCCCGACAATGAAATATTTGCCAATTGAAAATTAAAGTAAAATTGACAATTGCATCGCCAATCAATTTACGAGAAATAAAAGAGAAATCAGTGGATCGTGACAGTCTACCTATAAAGACCTTGGAGATTACGTGGACGTCGCGAAAGTGGTACACCTGCCGGTAGCCGAACACAAATTACTTTCCGAGGAGTATGTGAGTGATCGATGCTTATGATTTATCCGCGACTTTCCATCCCATAATTTAATTGAGAAAGAAGCTATTGGAGAATAGATTGGAGAAGAGATTGGAGTCGTAATTATAATTGAGAGTATCCGTAAAAAATAAAATAAAAATAATGACAATACGTGGATATTAAGTAAAAATATTCTTAATCTAAAGGTAAGTGCATCTAATTACATAAGGAAAATAAAGGGTTCTTTATTCTATAATAAAAGTAATATCTTTTGACATCGACCTAAGTATTATATCTCGAAAAATTTATTTAAAAATGTAATAGACGAGTAAATAAAGGAAATAAGAATTAATTAATAGTTTCGTAGGATAAATGAAAAATCGAATGATAAAATTGAAAAAAATAATTGAAAAAACGAAGAAGAAGGAATTTCTTGCATTCCCCCTCGTCGTGTATTAATGAATATAATAATTGCACGTCCATAGTTTTCCAATATTTAGTCAAGGATGTCTGAAACGAGTTTTTACCCCGTCCATCCGCCAAGTGCAAGAGGCAACTTTAAGGCGCCATTTAAAGGCAGCCACGATCTACGTCAGCAATTCGTCCACTGTAACGTGTAAAATCTTCGCCGAGGATGGTCACTCGATCAGCGAAGCGGAGGCGGAGACGCGGAGACGAAAAATCGGTCCTCGTGCCAAAGGCAAACGAACCGCCGCCTAACGCAATCGTGGTAGAGAACGAAGAGCTGCGATCGCTTCGGTAATTACCTGACTGGGAGGCTGAGGGTCTGCACCGAGCTCACGGACAGCAGCAGCTGGCCCAGCGCGTAGACGCAGCTCAGGTAGAGGATCGTCCGGTACTTGCCGAGCCACGAATCCGCGATCATCGCCCCCAGCAGCGGGAAGAAGTAGGCGAGCATGGAGAACGTGTGGTACATGACCGTCGCCGTGTCCTCGTTGTACATGAGGACGTCGACGAGATAGAGCGAGAGGGCCGCTAAAAATGTTCACATTTTCACATTACTTTTCCGTTGATTTTGCTTTGACTTTTGGGCCCCGATTTCTAGACGCGCATTCTGCTTCTCTCTAAACGGGTTGTCCGCCTCGGGGACTAATCGCGATATTTCTTATTCATTTTATTCGCCGTACTTGTACATGGCCATGAAAAAAGATATTTCGTGGTAGCGATGAGTTTAGGAAGATGCTTAACCCACAGCCGGAAATATTGAAAAAATTTTATTAAACTTAATGCTCGATCGGCATTAGTTCCGTCAGATATAGTGGAGTAGATATAAAGAGGCTGAGTTACTTACTTCGCATGCCATAGAAGGAAAATCTCTCGCAGAATTCATTGCTGATTATGAAGAATATGGATTTCGGGTAACCCATCTTCTGTAAAAATAAAAGAAATTAATTAAATAATAAAAGAATGAATGTATTATTAGCTTGATGATTATGTAAATGTTGTAATCCGCAGGA